GGATCCTTAAATGCTACCTGGGAAGCACTGCAGCTTGTTTGCTCAGTGGTTGCCTTTCTCAGTGTTTAAGTACTATTAGGTTATGTAAGGAGGATTAAGGTGTTATCTTCACAGATTCCATTTGTGTGTAGTGTACAGCTTATCATTAATTCTGGACTTGTTTCTTAGAAATGGAGATTTAGCTTCTCTGTACCAAAATGCATGTGAAGCTGCATTTATAAGTGAAGGAAATTGATTAAAGGATATCTCTTAACAACAGGGGATTTATAGTTTAGAGTTTTAGGACTTTAATCCTTAACAGCTCTGTTTAAAATAGCTAAAGGTATCCCATAAATTCCAGTTTCCCTGCATAAAATAACATCTTTTTTTATCCTCAGTATCACACTCAGAGCAGGCATTTGATTTCTTGGAATGCCTAGTTTCCAAGTGTCAGGAAGGAACCAAACTCCTAACACAATTTTTCATGATATGTTTCCTTCTAAATCCCAGTCTTTCCCAGCAGAGCGACACTTTTGGGTTTTGGCACGTGCAGTGTGTGCTGAGGAGCCGTAGTCTTGTCTCACGGATTTTTCTGTATGTTGTGGTTACAGGTGCAAGGGAAGGATGCTTCACTGCTGACAGAGCTAACCCCTTCCCAGACTTTTGCAGGACAATGTATAGGTCCCTCCCTGTTGGTTTCCAGCATTGTGTCTGGGTGGTTGTAGATACCAGAGAGTTCCTTGAATAGATATGTAATTCATTATGCAATCCATTCAGGGAAAACCTTACAGAGGAGGGCAGAATTTTTGTGTGCTTGATATAAACTCATTCTTAATGCTTGTCTTACTAGTCCAGGTAAGAAGCCATGCCACCTCTCCATGCTGTGCTGAAAGGTGCCTGTCCTTTTGCATTTGCTTAGTAGTGATGCTTTTCTTTACCATGCTTGGTGTGTGTTTGGCCTTCAAAGTGGCCCCACTGACTGCCAGTTTTTGACACGGCTCAGTGTGCCTCCTGGTTCCTGCTTCCTGACAGCAGTTCCAGTGTGCCTGAGAGGTCTGTGATAACCCAAGGTCATTGTGAGTCCACACTGGTAGGCAGACTCGTGTGCAAGCACTGCTGTGGGAGTCTCTAAAATGGCACTGTGATTTTGGCAGGCTCTGGGTGAGCCTCTCTACCGGGTCAGCACTGGGAACTACGAGTACCGCCTCATCCTGCGCTGCCGGCAGGAGGCTCGCACGCGCTTCGCCAAGATGAGGAAGGACGTGCTAGAGAAAATAGAGCTCCTGGACCAGAAACATGGTGAGTGCCACTGCTGAGTTCAGCAGACGTGACTTTGGACTTTGTGCTCCTCCTTTGTCCCAGCTCAGAAGACAGCTCCGTTCTTCTTTGCTGAAGAACTCCATTGTGGCTGTACCCGAGACGTCAGCCCTGAGGGGCCAAAAGGGATTAATGTGTAGGAGATGGTATCTAACACTGGTAAGGGCGGCTTGATCACAGCCTTCACACTGTTTGGGAAGGAAATTTTTACACTTTTTCCCCCCAACATGTCTCCACTACAGTGCAGGACATCGTGTTCCAGCTCCAGCGTTTTGTCTCCACGATGTCCAAGTACTACGACGACTGCTACGCCGTGCTCCGGGACGCCGATGTCTTCCCCATCGAGGTGGACCTCGCCCGCACCACTCTCAGCTATGGGCAGAAGGACACGTACACAGATGGGGCGGAAGAAGAAGGAGAAAGTGAGAGAGAGGGTAGCGGGAGGGAGGATGCAAATGGAGAGAAGCTCATTGATGACGCCTGAGTGTGTCAGCATGGCCAGAGGGAGGACTTTGCAGCCTTATGAAAACATGTATTTCACGTGGCCATTCATCCTCTGCGATTTGTCTGTGTGTCCAGCCTGGGATTCCTCCTCTGCTTTGGGTGGGGTAGCTGGTTGGATTGGGACCAACCTCTGCTTTCCTCTCTTTTCCTTTGCTTGTTTGCCTGGATAATTGTTTTTTGCCCCTGGAGACTTCTGCTACCCAACCTGGGTACTGAGCTGTGGGGAGGAAAAGCCACTCCAGAACTGCTATGTGTCCCTGTGCAGGCAGGACTCTGCTGAGCACATGGGCAGCACCGCTCCTCTCTGGCACATGGAAGCTGGTTAAGGGTTTGGAGGTGGTTACAAATGGTGAGAACAGCCTCCTTCCATCCTCCCCTTTTGCTGTGGGGTAGTGTTAGCATCACTGCTTGCTGTCATCAAGCTCCTTCGAGCATCCACCTTAGGACTGTGATGGAAATACCCCATCTTTAAAATAGAAAGGAGACACAAGCCCTTGTGGAGAGAGGAAGAGGCTTTGGGATTTTTTTAGTATGAAGAATGACTAGTGTGCTCTCCTCTCTGCACAACTATTTTGTGCTGCCTCTGGGCCAGCCAGCAGCAGTACCTTTCCTCCCATTCCCTAGCACAAGGGAAGGGGGAAAAGGAAAGCTGAGGTAAGTGAGAGTGCTTCTTTCCTCCTTCCTTTTCTCTTCTCCTCCCTCCATCTCTGTGGGCCAATCCCAGATGCAGATGGCACTTTATCTGTTAGTGGGCAGCACAAACACCAGGAGTGGTGGTGTTCTTGGGCCAGGGGTTTTGTCTTCTCTGTCATTACATTCTAGTGGTCGTGGGAGAAGTTATTTAAGTGCATTAATTTATGATCAAGATTTTTTTTTTGGATTTGTGTTTCTCTTTGATTGTTTTTGGAGCTTCTTCATCTCTGTGGGTGCCTGGAAAAAAGCCATCCATGGTCAAGCTGCTCTGGAGAATTTAAACAGACTGGTGTAGTGACTATTGTCTGTAATAAAGAAATATTGACATTTCATTTCATGTCCTTCATGCCTTTCTATGAAATGTTTGTTTGCTTATCTTCCACTGGTTTTAATCTTAATCTGTAATCTTGGGAAGATGGGTGTCATGTGCTGGCCATTTTTGTCTTCTCATACTGGTGCACAATCTCTACACCAACCTGTGGTGGTCAGTGCAGTGCAGATTTCCAGAGGAAGAGAGTTACAAACGCTGTAGCAAGGCCAGTTCTCCAGCAATACCAGCTTCTCTGCATTTTTGCTTCCCAGGGGAACACCAGTCTTGTGTGGTGCCTCAGTCCCGCCAGGGTGGCATCTCTGTCCCTCTCCAGGGCCAGCTTCCCCACACATCTCAGCTGTTGCATCACAAGCTTCAGCTGATGCTTAAGCCCCTGATCCTCTTTCAGGGTTGTTTGTTGGGCCAAAACACAAAGCAGTTGAGGGGGAACTGAAAATGCTTCAGCAGAGTCTGCCTGAAAGCCATTGAAACCAAGTGTAAAGCAGCATAGCTGGGTTTTTTATGAAGAGGTCTGGGAATCTTGCAGCACTGTCTGTAGTGAGATCTCATACCCTGAGGGCTGTTATTTGCTTTTGTGAAAATAATTTAAGAGTGGGAGGCTTAGTGGGAAATGTTGGCTTGTGACAAGGAAACAGAGGGAACCTTGTTCTAGTGACCGGCCTGGCTGACAAGGGCAGTTGTTTTCATGCTGTGGACCTTGGACCTCTGGGAAGTTGTGAGCCCTTTCTTGGAGGGCATACTAGTGAATAAGGGAAAACCAGCCTGGGGTTACTGGGGAAAGAGCTGCAGAGCAGCTTGGTCAAGCAGAAACAGCGATCTTTCCTTGCTGGGAAGGAAAACATGCTTTGAGGGCACTGGATGAGTGCCTGCAGGGCCCCAGCACCCTTGCTGCTGCTCTCATTCTCCCAGAGCTTTGCATGTGGGGTTTGGTATGGGGTTTAGTCTTGTTTGGGATATTTCTAAGGGAGTTTAAGTAGGAAAAAGCCCAAAGTCACCACTATGACTAGCTCAATATCAGATCTAACAGTGGTGTTAGCTATGGTGGGACAGAGTACAGCCTCATGGGGTTTACCTTCTCCTCTCCAATTTCCAGTTCTTCTGTCTCTTCTTAAACTGATATTCTTCAACAGCTTCATCTTGCTCATCATTTACTGCTGGTTTTTGTTTGGGAGCACCTAGAATGAAACCCTTTCCTTCATGTCCCCACTCCCCTGCTGTGTTTAAATGGCTTTATGGATCCTGCCAACTACCCATTAATTTGTAGTCAGTCTGGTCTGGAATGAAACACAATTTTTGGTGGCCCAACAAGCTGCCTTCCCTGTAGCCCTCTGCTTAGTTTTTGATCCCTTGTTATAGTGACAGGTTCCCCCAGGGTCTCTGAGGTGAAGCAGTTCAGGAAACCGGAAGAAAGAGCTTTGGCCAGGGGTGTTTATAAAAGATCCAGTCCTAAAGCAGATTAGAAGTGGTTTAAGCATGCTAGGGAAGGTTGTCCTCTCTGAATCTAGAAATCCACCACTGCAGCAGGGGGTGAGGGGGTCATGCCTGCTTTACCACGTGCTCCAACACCCTCGTTAGCGGCACCCGGGGACTGGGCTTGTCCTTCTGCCTTACCTTTGATTCCTTTATGTAAGGAGGTTTTCTCTATTTAAGAGGAAAACACAGGCACACCTGGTGCCATTCCTGCTCAGTGGATAATCGCTTGGGACACGGTTATTTACCTGTCTTGAAACCCCCGCCCCCACAGGGGCCAAGTTTTTCCCTTCACACGTCAACGGGACTCACTTGAGCCTAGCTAAAGCTGGCTTGGTGCTATTCCTGTCAGCGAGGCTCCGTGCTGCAGCTGCACACCTAATGGCATTAGCCTTTCTTAGGTGCCTTCTTCTTGTACCTCAGCAGCAGCGCTTCGCCACCTGGGGAAGCAGCATCAGGTGTCACTGCCCCAGCTTCACTGCCCACTAAAGATGTGCCAGGCAGAGGTGGCTGGAGCTGGTGGCCTCCTGGTTCGGCAGTGCCCGAGGGAGGTGTTGCAGAGAGCCTGGTGTCTGCCCCCATGGTGGTTGGTAGCTGTGAGTTACACCACCTCCTAAACACACTGCCAGTGAGACTGACACTATCCAGACCGTGGAAGTGGGGTGAAGGAAACACTGACACCAGAACAGAGCGTACCAGATCTGATTACAAAGAGTCTCTAATTGTTTGTGTTCTGTATTGTGACCATGCAGAAGGAAAAGGAGAGTCCTTGGCAGCCTCTTCTGAAGACTTTCTCCAGGGCTGGTTTGAAAGTGAGGAAAGACGATTATTATTTTTTTCTTTTTGGTGTTTGGGCTGCTCTGAGCCTGCGTTGTACCAGCATGGATGCAAGCATACGTATCACTGGGTGGGTTGTGGACATATGTACATAAGGACCAGCTATTCTTATACCTCTCCCACTTATTTCTTACATCTGCCTTTGTCCCAGCTTTCTGCTCCCTGCATCCCGCCTACCCTCCCATGCTGAGGTGCTTGCAAAGAAGGCCAGTTTTATACATCCCTGTTCTCTGCCCTGGCTAAAAACTGTCCCTCTCCACCCTCTGGTCAGCGTTACAGCCGTCTCGGGCCAACACCTCCCCATCCCCTGCGGGACAGCCGCCTCCCTCCCCTCTCTGCTCCTCTGCCACATGGTTGGCCTCCTCGCTGGCCACCACCACGGCGTTCTCAGTGCTGTGGGCCGGCTGGTGGTTGTTGCTGCTGTGCTCCTCGGCTTCCTGCACGTCGGACTCCGCTTCCTCGGTGTCGCTGCCCCCTCCTGCAGAGGGGTTGTTCTCGGGGGGAGGCTCCTTCTTCCCTCGGTTCAGGCAGCAGTAGCTGGCCACACCCAGGAAGAGGGCGGAGAGCACCACCTCTGAGCCCGCCAGGTAGAAGATCACCTCATAGTTCTTGAGAGCATCGACCAGGCGGCCTGATGGTTGGAGAAGAAATGAGATGGTTGGAGAAGACATGAGATGGTTAAAGTCAGCCTACGCACTCCTGCATGGACAACTCAGTGCAGGTGGGCAACACCTGCGTTTGGCTGAGGACCCATTCCTCAAGGGAGCAGCGAGAAGCCTGAATACCTAAAAATCACCCTGGGAAAGAGCCACACTGTACTTCTGGGAAAAGTACGGTGACAGTGCATGGTTGGTGTTTTCCCTTGTTTAGACAACCTTAAATAATTGTAACACCTTCATGATGGGCCATCTTCTAGTTGCCAAGGTGGGAAAAGCCTCTCATGATTTGGATTGGCCAGTCTCAGAAAAGAAAGTTTGAGAGGCATTGCTATGTCTTAAGCTATTATGTCAGGAAAACATTCTGAAGGGAAGAACAAATTTCTCTTTGGCAGAGAAATCCCTCTTGTTGGCCCACACCTGGTGATTTCTGTGCCAGAGATATTCTCAATCTATTTTCTGAATCCACTAGGGCTAGCCATGGAGGAAGAGTTCCCAGTCCTTGGTGCTGGGGAGCAGGAACAGCTGCCTTGCTGCTGTCAGGATGCAGCCGTGGAACCGCGCTCTTCATCCCGGTCTCGCATGCTCCCAAATGCACATGTGACCCCCAGTCCCTGCTGTGCTACAGAAACCAGCCCCAGGACACGCTGAGGTGCCTCCCGGAGCAGTCATGGGACAAATTCCTGGGCAGGTGAATGTGCCCCTGTTCCGCCAAGCCGGATGGCGAGCGAGGAGCCTGCGTGCCCCAGCGCGCGTGCGTGTGTGTGTGCGGCTTATCCTGTGCCAAACCCCCTCGGCCCCACAGAGCGGGAAGCAGCTCAGGAGGATTACACCAAACAAAGCCACTTTGTTCAACCCCCTTCTCCCAGCCGAGCACTGTTCTCCCCGAGTCCGAGCCGTCAGGATTGTCAGAGCGCTTGAGCTTCCTATGGCCCCCAACGCGACCTGGCTGCCCCCAGCACGGTTCTTCAGTGGCCCTGCACTGTCTGTGTGCCACTGTGCATGCACACAGCACCAAGGCACAGCTGAACTGAGGCAGGAGGGCTGAGACTCTTCATCCCGGTCTTGCATGCTCCCAAATGCACATGTGACCCCCAGTCCCTGCTGTGCTACAGAAACCAGCCCCAGGACACGCTGAGGTGCCTCCCGGAGCAGTCATGGGACAAATTCCTGGGCAGGTGAATGTGCCCCTGTTCCGCCAAGCCGGATGGCGAGCGAGGAGCCTGCGTGCCCCAGGGCGCGTGCGTGTGTGTGTGCGGCTTATCCTGTGCCAAACCCCCTCGGCCCCACAGAGCGGGAAGCAGCTCAGGAGGATTACACCAAACAAAGCCACTTTGTTCAACCCCCTTCTCCCAGCCGAGCACTGTTCTCCCCGAGTCCGAGCCGTCAGGATTGTCAGAGCGCTTGAGCTTCCTGCACCAGGGGGTCCTACGGCCCCCAACGCGACCTGGCTGCCCCCAGCACGGTTCTTCGGTGGCCCTGCACTGTCTGTGTGCCACTGTGCATGCACACAGCACCAAGGCACAGCTGAACTGAGGCAGGAGGGCTGAGAGATTCCCTTCTTAGCACCCCACTGGTGGGCCTTGCTCCTTAGGCAAGGTGCTGTTAAATCCCCCTCTTCCCCCAATGATCTCTCTGCAGCTGCCTCCAGACACATAGTTCTTGACCCTCCCTGGTCTGGGACTGCTGACTGCCCCACAGCTTATAAAGTGAGATATGAATTATTGTTAGCATTTAAGAGGTTCCTCTCTTGGCTGCCAAATTTTACTTGAGAACTGGTTGGAGTTGCTGAGGGTGGGCTTTACTCAGAACTGGTGGTTTGTGCTGAAGAAAAGACCACTCACACAAAGGTCTTCAATGATGGGCTTTAGCCTAGGTGTTACAGCTGAAGGAAGGGAGTGCAAGAAACAGCAGAGTGGTTCCTGCCTGGGGATTTTCCATAGTCTTGTCCCTGACTCTTCCTTGCAAATCAGGAAACTGCACTTTGTTTGGAAATAAGCCTTGGGCATGATTTGGCTTTCTCACATGTGATCAGACACTTAACATTAATCTACACCAACCTCCATTCAACAGCCTGTTTTGATGGGCTGTTTGTGGGGCATGGGCCTTGCCAGGGGCTGTGACCTAGACTAGACTGGCTGAAAAGCTGTGAGTGTCTTAATCCTCTTAGAAAAATTACCAGCAAATGCCTCAGGGGACTGTGCAAACTGTTTTGACTTGACTGACAGCAAAACACCTGTGCCTTGGAATTGGGATCAGAACAAATTGAGATCACTATTCACAGTGCCAATCAAAAGGCCATGGACACCAAGGAGAATTTGAGAGACGCTTGCTTTGTCCTAATGAAGACTCTCAAAGGTTTGTCTGCAGCATGTGCCTGACCCTATCCTTAACATGATTCTAAGAAACATTTGTAGTGAAGGCAGAGATCAGCTCTCAGCTTCTAGAGCAAATTTAAAGTTGAGAAATAGGGTCTTTCTTCAAGTGCAGTGTCTGTGCCCAGTACCTGCAATACAGTGGAGCAGTGGCAGCCAAACGAGTCACCTGCAGCAAGGCACCTACCTGCCGAGGGTGGGCCGATGAGCACGGCGAAAGCCTCGATGAGTAGGACCAGCCCGATGGCGCTGGAGAACTTCTGGGAGCCGACGATGGCCATCAGCACCTCGAACTGCAGTGCCCCCACCATGCCGTAGGAGATGCCGAAGAAGACGCAGAAGATGACCAGCCCCGTGTAGTTGCTCGCCCTGGCACTGCAGATGTCTGTCAAGCCGTTGAAGAGCATGGAGAAGCTGAACAGATATGCCACGTGAGGGCGGACCCACTTCAGCCCTGCCACCATGCCGCAGGCTGGGCGGGCAAAGATGTCTATGAAACCGATGATGGAGAGCAAGAACGCGGCCTCTGTGTCTGGAACGCCTGTGTCCTTGGCATAGTTGACCAGCAATATGGGGGGCACGAAGAGACCCAAGACCAGGATGAACTTTGAAATGGTGTAAATTATAAACCCTCGGTTGGAGAAGATACTAAAATCCAGAAGCTTCTTTCCTTTCTTGGGCTTCTTCTTGACTTTCTTGCCTTTCTTAGTTCCATCAGTGGTGCTGATTCCCTCCTCTGACTTCCCTCCTATGGGCAGCATCTCCTTGGCTTCATATTTGTCCTGAGCTTTGCCCATCTTCCTCTTCATGCCCATATCCAGGGGTCTCATGACTGCCCCACAAGTGCAGCAGTTAAGCAGAAGGCCCCCCATGATAAGGAACCCTCCTCGCCAGCCAAACTTCTCCAGCAGCACTTGCCCCAGTGGAGAGAGGGAGGAGAGGAAGACAGGGCTCCCAGCAGCAGCCAGTCCATTGGCGAGAGGCCGACGCTTGTCAAAGTAGGTGCCCAGCATGATCAGTGAGGGCTGGAAGTTCAATGCCATACCCAGACCTACATGGAAGTGAGAGCCAGGAGGGAGACACGGAGTGCAAGAGCATGAGATGTGTTTTGCAACAAGCTGAAAATTCCCCTCAGGCTATCCTAGTCCTGAAGTCCCATGATGGGATGAATGTGTTCCTCACAAGGCTCTGTGCCTTCATGTTGGTGGATTGCCCTTGCAGAGGATGAGCTAAACCAGCCTGTCCACCTGAAATGGGTTTGAATCAGGTAATTGTGCTCACACTTAGGCAGGACCTGAGCCTTGCACAGGAATTCTGCCTCTTTCCCCTGCCACTGTGTACTGATGCTGCCTACCGCAGTCACCACGATCACTGAGCACCACTTAGGTTTCTTCTGTCTCTCAGCCACAGGCCCTGGCTGTTTAGGCCCAGCAGATGCATCCCTCACAGGTGCAACTTTCAGGACTAGATGCCTCCCCTAGTGTGTGCAAATAAGCGAGGGAGACCTGATACTAGACATGGCAGGGAAAGGGAAATACACTAAGGGGAAATATGACATAGTCTTGGCTCTTCCCCTGGTAAGCCTGTGTTGCCCCCCAAATCCTGGGGCTCTCACCTGTCAGCACACCAGCTGTCAGATAAAGCTCAATGATATTGGTGGTAAAAGATGCCAGGATCATCCCAGCAGAAGCTAGCAGCCCGCCAATGAGCATCACAGGCCGGCAGCCAAACTGGTTCACCATGATGCTGCATACTGGCCCTAGGAGGAAGCAGAGGAGACAGAGTAGGTGACCAGGAGGAGACAGGACAACTGGGAAGGGGCAGGCAGCCCAAGCAGAGCTCTCAGGGAAGATGAAGCTGTAATGATGGAGCTCACTACTTGGCTGCTTAGCTACATATCTGTTGGGTCTGGCCAAGGAAGAGAGGCTGGTGGTGTGGAGGCTTCTGTTCTGCCCTGCCTTTGGACCCCTGTTCCCTGGCACTTGGTGTGATAAGAACAGCACTTCAGCAGCGGGAGCAAACCATATCAATTGTCTGGGATGGAGGTGGGGTGACTCCTGCTGGGCAGAGGAAACAGGGATATGAGATGCAGCACACTTCCAGAAGAGAAGTGGTAGGACAATTGTATTCTGCATCGTGGTTCATGACCAGGCCAGTGAGCATGAGGAGGGTCCATGGGGACATGGTCTGGGCACATGGCAGAGTGGGAAAGCTGTGAGTTGAGGAGGGGGAAGTGTGTCCAAGCATCACCTGTCCCATAGAGCATGGCCAGCATGATGGAAGAGATCCAGGCTGTGTCACTGTAGCCCACGTGGAAATCTTTCATCAGCTCCTTGAAGTAGACACTGACGGCTTTTGGGAAGGCATAGGAGAAGCCAGTGATGACAAAGCAGCCAAGGAGCACGATCCAGCCCCAGCCACCATCCGGGGGCTTCACAGGAGCCGGGAGTTGCCCTTCTTCTGGGTCAGGTCTCCCCATCTTCTAACCTAGGAATGGAAAGGCAGGCCGGGAGGAAGTAGGGCAACAGAGAGAGAGAAAGTCTGTTGGTGCTGCAAGAAGAGAAGAGCGGAGCAGCAAACATTTACTACAAGGTTTCTCTCCATGCCCACCATGGCTCATCAGGGGCCACAGCTACTCTTTGTACCCTGATCCTGCCAGGTGAGGTGAGATTGCTTTGGGGTGTGAGGTCATGCCTCAGCTGGGCAGAGGTGGGGAGCTCCCCCTGAGACAGGGCAGCCCAGAGCTCCATAACCCCTGGCCAAACACAGCTAAACGTTGTCACAGCTCCCAGATGAGCCCAGAGTGCTGCATCTGGTGCAGCATCAGGATCTGCAGCACCCCCCTTGCTTCATATCCAGCCTTGCCTAAAGATGGGGCGAGGCAAAGACCAGCAATGTGAACCATTTTTGCTTCTTAATATCTGCCTTTGAGTCTCCCCCATGCTGGTGTGCTCCAGTGGGGAGTCCTCCAGGACCTGCCCTGCCACAGAAACCTCCAGCAGTGGGGCAAGGAGAGCCATTAAGCCCTCTGTTCTTTCTTCTGGGAGACCCAGTGCATGGCACTCTCCTTCTCCCTCCCCTCCCTGCCATCAGGGGCCAGATTTCCAAAATAGGTGAAGGGGGAGAGCACAAAAAAACAGTGGTTATTTGCGTGCCAGAGAGATTAGGGCTCTGTACCTACACGGAGGGGCCGGAACAAAGCCTAAGTGGGGAGAAGGAGGGAATTAAAGGGGATATCTTGTGAGTTGCTCTCAGGGCTCTTAAGCTGCCCAGGAATTTTGCTCCAGCTGACTGCTATGGGTATGTTTTTCATTTCTCCCTTAGGTACCAGGTTTCTGCCCCTTCCAGCACCCTTGGCCACAGTTTCTTTGTCAGCCAGGATTATTTCCACACCTGCATGCAAAGCCATCGCTGGACTTACACTGCAGATGCTCCCAAATAGATTAGACAGGCATTCTCCATGCCTGAGCTGGGCTTTTTTGGGTCTGGTTTGTCTCCTATCACTGTCTTGTGGCAGCACACTCCTAGCAAGGGTTCTCTCTCCTGCCCAGCTCTCTTGGCTGAAGGACTGCAAGGTGGCAGCAGCATCCTCATCTATTGGCACCAGCAGTTGTGGGAAATGCCAGGAGTCACAAATGGACTAGAGAGTGCTGAGGGGACAGGGACTGTTTTATGGATGTGACACACATCGCTAGAACCTGAGAGCTTTGGATCTGGGTGCATTTCTCAAGGAAGTCCCTGTTCTTGGTGTCCTCCATGCAAAGGGGCTGAGTTGAGCTGATTCCTGTAGCTGCTGTTGCTCTGAGTGTCAGAGAAGTGCAAATCCTTTAGACAGAAGTGTGGATGGCACAGGCTGGGGCAGACCCCAGGCAGAGGGCCCTTACTTGGCAAGAGTGGTCTTACCCCACAGCCACCCTCAGCTGTACCTCTCCTTCCCCTCTCCAGGGAGCCTTTGCTCCCAAAAACAGAGTGCAGCACTCAGATGCCTGCCACCACCATGGGTCCCCACAGCAAACTTCCCCAAACTTTCAGGATGCTCTGAGCCACAAAAAAGGGAGCTGAATCTGGCTCTGAGCATGGACTGGGGCAGCTCTTCTGGATGGCTGTTTCCTCTTCTGGATGGCTGTTTCCTGTTTCCATTCCTTCTGGATGGCTGTTTCCTAGCAGCTCTTGGGTTGAACCACTGAGGCCGGCACAGGCTACTCTGATCTCTCCCTCCCAGCCCGGGTCTCAGGGACTGTGGCAAGGGACAGAGACATGGACTGAAAACAGGGAGCTATAAAGATATTTTTAAGGCAAGGAATCCCTACAAGGAAGAAAAGAATAATGATACACTCTCCAGCTACCCATACCTCCCCCATCTTGCCCTCTTTGGGGTTTTCTGGATCACTGGCACCCTGACAGCCAGACTGAATACCCTCGCTCAGTCTTTGCCATTTTGCCCACTGCTCCTGTCCCAGCTCCAGCTGACTGACAAGCTAGATCCAGCTGTATGAAAGGTGACCTCTGCCAAAGCACAGTGATTTCTCAGTCAGAGCTGGTGCTCCACCACTGCACCCTCTGCTGCACGTAGCTACTTCAAGTAAGAGCTGCCACCAAACATAGCCTGAGACCTTTTATCCAAGCCCTTCTCCCAGCCTTGCTTTTCTTGAGCTCATCCTGCACTGCAAATTAAATGAATCAATCAAAACATTGCAATCCATCTTTCCCTCAACCCTGCTGCTCCCTGCCAGCATCCTAGCAAGAAAATATATGTCTGTCTGTGACGTGCTCTTCAGAGATTTTGTAGTGCAGCCTGTCAATGATGAGCCCATGGCATCTGATTTTGAAGAGTGCATTAGACAAATATCTGTGAGTACTTGTTTGAATTCGGAGCTGGAGGGCACCTCTGCAGGAGCCACTTGCTCGGTGCTGCAGAGCTGTAGAGCAAAGCATGAAAGCAGCCAGATGTTGGCTGAAAACAATGGGGTGCACCAGAGGAGCTCCCCTGTGGGGGTGCCTCCAAGGCCAATATGCCATAGCACTCCTCTGCTGGAGATTTATCCCAGCTGTGAGCCGGTTCAGAGCTGCCTCGTTCCTAACACCATGACACACATGCTTGTCTGCTCACAGCAGTCACACCCCATACCCTGCTCCTGCCTTTGCACGCTCTACAGCTCACTATCATTTTGTCCCCTGTTAAGAAGCTTTATTCATGGGTAAAAGCACCGTGTGTGAGTTCACATGCACCTAAAAGCTCCTCAGCACGGGCACCTGCCCTTCCCTGTGCATCACAGGAAGGTGGGCCAGAGCAGGCACTGCTGCAGCACTTGCTGCAGGTGGCTGCAAGAAGACTTGTGCCGACAGCAGGAGGCACAAGCCCGGGCTGGAAGGGTGAAGACCACAGCAGGTTCAGCTGTGGCTGCCAGTTCCTGGACACACCCAGAGCGCAGTGCAGCCAGTGCTGGATAATGCCCAGAAAATCCCCACTGTGCTAGACAAGCTGCACCCAGGAGGGTCCACATAAATGCTCATGGAGTCACTAACTCCATGCAGTACAGATGGGGTGGGGAGTCTATTTATTGAGTGCAAGGCCCACGATTCATGCCACCAGCGTCTCCAACCCACACACAAGCCCCTGGGAAAGCATTTGTTAGAGAATTAAATGAATGCAGGCCCGGGATGAGTTGCTCCTATCGGCTGCTGGAGCGAGGGTGCCAGCATCCCTCCACAGCACTGACCTGTGCAACGAAGCAATGACCTCCCAGCACAAGCTGAGCCTCCAAGGGTTGAGCAGATCCCTCAATAGCGCTTCCTTCTCCCACTGGCTGGCACTTCCCGGCTCTTGATGAGGGTGCCTGGTTAGATGGTCCTGCTGGATCTTTTCTCCATGGTGGGCACAGGACAATGCCTGCAGAGGACTGGCACCTGTCGAGCAGTCTCTGGTGCTCCGCTCCTTCCTTCAGAGCAGCTATGTCCTCACAAGACAGCTAATCCCCCTCTCAGCTTGCTTCCCTCCAGTTCCAGCGATGCCCAGCAAAGCTGTCTGTGGCAGATCTGGGGGGACACGCTGTGTGGGGCACTCCCTTGCCTCCTGTGGGTGCAAGCAGTGTCCCACGGCACCCCCAGTGTGGATGTGGGTCAGGAGCTGCTTATGGTTTCAGGTCGGCAGAGACTAGTGGGTGCTGAGCGGGCAGAAAGCACTTCTCCACTTTTAAGAGGCTTTTCCAGCCAATGGGGACGAGGTGGCTGCCTGCCACAGCCCGAATCCCCCGGTAATCCTGCTGCCCAGGGGCTCCTTGCGTTTTCTCCAGCAGAACAGAGCAGGACAGGCTGGCAGGGATAGATTCAGTCGGAGGGACAAGGACAGGAAGAAGCAGGGTGAGGGTGAGGGGTGTTGGGTGCTGGGAGGGAGGCGGTGGAGGAGGAGACCATGTGCCCATGCTTCAGTAAAGGGAAAAATAGGTAAAACAGCTGCTTTTGAAGCTTCCTCAGCTGCCAGCCACGACGGAGAAGCGGTGGCATGGTTTTGCAGGGCATGTGCCCAGCAGAGAAGTGAGACAAGGTGGAGCAGCCAAGGAATCACTGCCAGTCCTGGCTCAAACTGCCAGATCCTGCCCACCCCGGGCAGCTCAATAACCTCCCCTCAAAGCCAACCTCCCCCGTGGCTGACTCACAGGAGGAGGTCTGGCAGGCGCTGGGGACCAGCCAGCCTCTGGCCGCACATGGGGGAACACTTTTACTTCCAGGCAGGGGGCTGGGGCTGAGCCCAGGTGGGGTTTTGGGGAGGAAAAGGCCTGGGCTGTAAAGCCCTGAAGCTGCTCAGCAGCAAGGGGGTAGGGGGGGCTTGGCCACACTCACAGCCAGGGTTTAATGTCTATTAATAAGGCTAATCAGCTAAGCCCTGGCCATCGCTAGCGCTCCATCCCTCACTCACGCTGCCGCTCCCGTGAGGGCTCCCCAGCACACGTTGGGTATTCCCAGATTGGTGAGGCCCCCACAGGCCCCTGGGGAGTGTTTTTCCCCTGCACTGAGCAGCCCTGGGTGCCCAGGGCACACGTTCCAGCAGTGGGGGAGGAGAAGGGGACCACAGGTCCTTGCTGCCCTTCAGCAACAGGACAGACAGGGGAACTCAGGGGGGCAGCCAACAATGGGCAGTGCAGCCCTCCTGGTGCCCTCCACATCCCCCCCCAGACCCCTGGGCTGGTGCCTGCCCCATCTGGACTCATGGCACTGCAGTGTCCATCACCACAACCGCGGGCAGCCATCATGGCCCCAGGGCTGGTGGGAGCACCTGTCCTCCTCCCCCTGCATCGTGTGACTGAGCTGATGTCCCAGCCACTGAAATGGACACAGAAGATGCATTCTCCATTTTATTTTAAAAACCCCATCTATTTTCCACAGGACAGTACATGAAGGAACAGGGCAGTGGTGCTGGACACTGTCACCTGCCCCTGCCTTGCCCTGGCACTGCCTAGCAAGGCAAGGGGCTGCACCTGGGGTGAGAAGAGGCAGGTGCTGCTACAAATGGACACAGTTGTCAAAGAGGCCATCACTG